TGGTTTTAGAAATTGGACTTTGACGAGAAATCAAAAATGTTACATAACCATGTAATTAAAGCATCGTTATGACAGATTGTTTACTTGAAATGAGCCACTTTTGGTTTTAAGAACACCCTGAATATTCGCTCCGTATATAACATTCACTTGACCAGTGAAAGGATGTAAACAGTGGTCTGGTTTTGCAGCTTATCCATTTAGGAACATATTTGTGCTCTGACATAGATCTGAAATGAGCCAGAAGGAAAAGAACCCAGCCCCGACAGCGTGCACCAAACGGAGAGCAACACGCTGAAAATGCCAAACACTAGGAATTTTGCAAGCTCCCAATATTTACCATCCGGCGCAGAGTCCTATATTCTCAGACGAAGACACCGCAATGAGAAAACAACATCTCTATAAGGGTAAAACAAACAGCATCCAGGATTTCTGAGAGCATTCTTCCAAAATTATTGCACTCGATTAGATTGCCTCATCAACGGGGCCAGAGGCCATTTACACTATTTTCTTTTTTTTTTTTTTTTTATGTAACAGATGAAAGGATTACAGAAAGTTTTCTGGGGCCAAATTTGGAATTAATGATGGGAAAATTCTTTTGCTAATCCCCCATCTCTCCCACTGCTAGCAGGCTCCCAAGGCTGGAAAAACCCAATGTCTCCCGGTATCATGCTTCTATTTCACTCATCAGCGCAAAATCCTGCACTTGGGAGGTTTGGGAAGGACCCTCGGCTTCACACAGAGCCATAAAATCTCAAGGACAGAGCTATACTGAAAATGGGAGTAAAGAACGACATGAGACTCCAATTAAAACTTGGATGTGTCGCAAGGAAATCAAAGGATGGGACTCATCTGCTCAGGGTAGATGTTTGCCCAGCAGCCACCTCCAACCCTTTGGACAAGTTGTCCACGAGCCAGCAATGTGCCCTTGTGGCCAAGAAGACCAAAGGCATCCTGGGGGGCATCAAGAAGAGCATGGCCAGCAGGTGGAGGGAGGTCATCCTGCCCTTCTGCTCTGCCCTGGGGAGGCCACAGTGGTAGCATTGGGACCAGTTCTGGGCTCCCAGTTCAAAAAGGCCAGGGAACTGCTGGAGAGGGGACAGCAGAGGCTACGAGGATGAGGAAGGAATAGAGCATCTCTCTGCTGAGGAAAGGCTGAGAAACCTGGGGCCATTCAGCTGGAGAAGAGCAGACTGAGAGGGGATCTCAGCAATGCTGAGCAATATCTACAGCCTGGGTGTCAGGAGGATGGGGCCAGGCTCTTCTCAGCGGTGCCTGGTGACAGGAGAAGGGGCAATGGGCACAAGCTGGAACATGGGAAGTTCCATCTGAACCTGAGGAGGAACTTCTTTGCTGTGAGGGTGGCAGAGCCCTGGCAGAGGCTGCCCAGGGAGGTGGTGGAGTCTCCTTCTCTGGAGACATTCAAACCCCACCTGGACACGTTCCTGTGGGACCTGCTCTGGCAGGAGGTTGGACTAGATCATCACCTTCCAAGTCTCCTCCTTCCAGTCTGTGACTCTATGATTCCAGCCCAGGCTCAGTGGAGACAAACAGGCTTTGCTGGGACATGGAGCTCAGCGAGGGTGATGTCCCCCAGCCCACCCAAGAAGAAGGACCAATTCTCTGGAGAGTCCAGTGACTACCGCAGCTGGACCAGTTTGCAGGATGCCCTCCTAGGAACCTCCAGCATCACCCCACGGCACCGCCTGGCAGCCTACCAGTGAAGTAAAAATTGATACTGCTGAGAAAAAGCAAAGTTTAATCATTTTTCAGTCATTTAACAAACACAAAAGAATTTACAGGTACCAACTCCAGTGGAGAAGTAAACTTTGCATAATTCATCGGGATGCTCCACCACTCGTGCATCTGCAAAGGCACAGCTACACCAACTGGCACCACAGGAAAGTGCCTGGAGCCACCTCCAAGAGCTGGGAAGAGCAAATCTCTCTGCTGAACAGAGCCTGAGCTGCCAGGGAAAGGGAGAAATCAGCCCGGAATAACAGGTTGTGTAGAAAATAACGTCACCCAGCTCCCTAAAGTCTGTTTCATCAACTATCAGCCACTTCTGAATTAAGCCAATATTTTATCATAACACCAGAACAAGCTCAAGGCACTAATTAGTTGCGGAAGGTGGGAATGTCCAAAGCAGCTCAGGGAAATCAAGCTGGAAATCAAGTGGAAATCAAGCTTCCCGCAGAGACGGGCAATTTGATGGAAAATTTGACTGGAATAAAAAGAAATACTGATGCAGCACTTAATGAAGATGAGCTTCCCCTGCCTCCCCACAGCACGGACCATGGCATTATCACTCAGCAGGAGGAAGGAAAGAGATTCCGAGGGAGGGGAAATGACAGGGCAGTCATCCTCATCAGCCCGAGCAGGTAATGGTGACACGGGGCTGGCAGAGAGCCCGGGGAGGCTGGAGATAGTCAAGCACAGGGCATAAAATAAGATGCATCAAAGGGAAAGCAGCCCCCGGAAAACATCGCTAGGGATTTCGGCTTTTCCAATGTGCCAGTGGCAAGGAAACACCTGACCATACCCCCCTGTATCCACAAATAAAAAGAAAATCTCCCTGAATCGACAGAAAAACAGAAGAGGTTGCATAAAATCAGAGGAAACACAGGAGCCGCTTGCTCAGCAGTGATGAAGCCAAGTGCTGCGTGATCTGGTCCCCCATCAGTCAGACTGTTCCCTTCCTTTTCAGATTGCTTCAAGATCTACAAACACAGAATGACAGGATGATATGGGGTTGGAAGGGACCTCTGGAGATCACGTCATCCAACCCCCTGCCAGAGCAGGTTGCACAGGAACGTGTCCAGGTGGGTTTGAATGTCTCCAGAGAAGGAGACTCCACCACCCCCCTGGGCAGCCTCTGCCAGGGCTCTGCCACCCTCAAAGTGAAGAAGTTCCTCCTCAGGTTTAGATGGAACTTCCTCTGTCCAAGTTTGTGCCCATTGACCCTTGTCCTGTCCCTGGGCACCACTGAAAAAAGACCAGCCCCATCCTCCTGACACCCACCCTTGAAGTATTTATAGGTGTTGATCAGATCCCCCCTCAGCCTTCTCTTCTCCAGACTAAAAAGGCCCAAGTCCCTCAGCCTTTCCTCAGCACAGAGATGCTCCAGGCCCCTCATCATCTCTGTGTAGCCCTCTGCTGTCCCCTCTCCAGCAGTTCCCTGTCCTTCCTGAACTGGGGAGCCCAGAACTGGTCCCAGTGCTCCACACTCTGCAGGGCCACCTGGTTTCCTTCTCGAGATTTGAGAGGCAGAGGCAACTTGGTGTTTTCTTTCCCCCCAGGCTCTGCCCTGCCATCACCAACAGACCATCCTCTCTGCTTTTTACCCTCAGCTCTCCCCAAAGTTTCCATCTTTTGAGAAAGTTGCCTGTAGCTCACAAAAGAGCACGCAAGAAAACATTGAGAATTTGGCTCTAGGCTTCGTAACTGTCTGTAAGACAAACAAAAGTGGCATTATTTGCGTTATTTGTAAAAGGGAGGGTTAAATGTATTCCCAATTTCACAGATGTTTCAAGGCTTCACTGCTAGAAAAAGCCCGGGGTGGTCACGCAGCAATGCCATGGTACAATGCACAGTACCTTCAGGGGCCCAAAAACATACGGATTTGGGGACCTTCCCTCACCCCCAACAGAGGGAAATGGGACACAGACAGTGTATTTTCCTGATGAGAAACCAAGGTTTCACAGAGAATTAGTAAACACGCTCATGCTTCCCACCTGTTTTCTATTTAGAGAAAAAAAAAGCAATTAATATGACTTTTTCAACAACGGTTAATAGAGGAAACTTATGAAACCGAGATTTTTAATTGAAAATGTCTTTACTCACATGAGGCAGAGGATCAAAATCTGACAAGACCACTAAAGCAGAGTTTCTCCCAGCTGCGCAAACCAGTTCTTAACAACCTTAAGATTAATAAACAAAGACATATTCTAGACATTTCATATCCCTCCTGGATTTAGCCACGTATCCAAGGGGCACAGGGGACAGCCGTCCCCTGACTTCACTCTCGGGTGGAACGGAGCTCCCAAGCAGTACTTATTTCACATCGTTGTGAATCGGGCCCCCCCTCACCCCCCACAGACAGGCAGAGAAACACAAGGGGATGAAAAAAAAAAAAAAAAAAATAGGTTGAGGAAGAAGCCGATTTAAGCATATCATTTATTAGCAAGTAAAAGGACATTTACCTTCTCGGTGGTTAAGTACAACACAACCCAAGGATAAAGCATGTGGCGCAAGTCTTTGTGCAGGGGAGAAAGCTGGCGGGGTTCCACGGCTCTAATTGAGCTATTACCATATTGTAAGAAATGAAAAGTCAGAAAGGCTGGAGGATCCGCTCTCCCTCCCAGGGACAGTTCATGTCACGCAGACAATTAAGCAAGTAACAAAGCACATTTACCAGGAGAGCAATTCCCCCATTAGGATACTGGCTCATTTTAAAGCAAATAGGTACTCTTCTAGTTCAATATTGCACTTAATTTGATCCTACATTCAATGCCATGAAACCTTCAAAACCCGAATCCTGTGTAGCCAACACAACGCTTCTCCTTTAATCACTGCCTCAAGACTTCCATTCAGTCCAGGAGGAAAGCCACGGGACAAGAATGCTGAAGTAAAACCCAGCAACGTTCAAAATCTCACCGTAAAAACCCCCATAAAACTGAAAAATGCAAAAGACTGAGCGCAAAATTAATTTTGTACTTGGTATAAATAATCACCAATCTTCTCCTTCAAAAAGCAGGCTCGATAAGAAAATACCAGGTGCTATGTATCGTACACGCACAAGGTGGTACGTAGCGAAACACAATAAAACAACCAGCTCCTGCACAGACAGAACCTGCAGTGGGTGTTTGCAAACCTTTACAGTACGGTCTGGTGACTCTGTGGGCAAAAAGGAGTACAGGTGTACGAGGAGTGAAAAAAAAAAAATCAATCATAATCTTACATAAAAGTGAGGCAAAATGAGTTTCTGTGAGTCTTGTTCTTACCATTCTGTTCATCCAGCTCATTCCCGATTTCCTGCCCCATTTGCTTCTGCCGGGATATGATTGAAGAAAGCGCATCGAGTCCAGCATCTTGCTCTGCACCAGACAAAATATATACAATTACATGAAAAAAAAATTGCTGATGTGCCAGGCTTTGTACCATAAAAGACACAGGAGTGAAGAAAAAGATCTACTCTGTGCTTAAAGAGTTAAACGTATGAAGAAAAATACATCAACAGAACATGAAAATGAATCCTTAGGGCAACAGCACTCTTAAAATTACGTGAATGATGGGTAATTAATTTGTCTGCTCTGGCTGGGACATTTAGCTGAGGGTCCCAAAAAAAAAAAAAAAAATCCAAGAATTCAACATTCAGCTGTTACTCAATCATAAATGCAGGAGATTTTCTGGCACGCAGCCAGAGATCCCTGATTAGCCTTTTTAAATTTTCCAAGAAACTTTTAACATGAATAAAAGACAAACAGGTGATGCAAACACCAAAGAATTCAAATCGATTTTAAGCTGCAAGAGGATACGGAGCGCGTGGGGGAGAGCCTGAGACGGACACTGCAGGGCAGGTATAATTTGATGTGCTCCCACCAGCCCTGCAGACTCCTGTACCAAGATCCACATCACCGCTGCCATCCCCATTTGCGGTGACGTTGCCACTGGCCGGCAGCAGAACGGGAGCCAGAGATCATACAGGATGGATGGAACCCCCCTCCCTGCACCAGGAGGAAGATCTCACCCCCAGCACCTCTTCCTGCTGGGGCTGACCTGCTGGAGAGCAGCTCTGAGGAGAAAGACCTGGGAGTCCTGGTGGACAACAGGATGACCACAAGCCATCAATGTGCCCTTGTGGCCAAGAAGGCCAATGGCATCCTGGGGGGCATAGAATCATAGAATGGTCAGAGTTGGATGGGACCTTAAAGATCATCAAGTTCCAACCTCCCTGCCATGGGCACGGACATCTCCCACCAGACCAGGTTGCTCAAAGCCCCATCCAGCCTGGCCTTGAACACCCCCAGGGATGGAGCAGCCACAACTTCTCTGCCATCAGGAAGAATGGGACCAGCAGGTGGAGGGAGGTCATCCTGCCCCTCTGCTCTGCCCTGGGGAGGCCCCAGCTGGAGCACTGGGACCAGTTCTGGGCTCCCCAGTTCCACAAGGACAGGGAACTGCTGGAGAGGGGACAGCAGAGGCTACAAAGATGCTGAGGGGCCTGGAGCATCTCCCTCACGAGGAGAGGCTGAGGGACTTGGGTCTTTGTAGTCTGGAGAAGAGAAGACTGAGGGGGGATCTGATCAACACCTATAAATACTTCAAGGGTGGGTGTCAGGAGGATGGGGCCAGGCTTTTTTCAGTGGTGCCCAGGGACAGGACAAGAGGGAACAGGCACAAACTTGAACATAAGAAGTTCCATCTAAACATGAGGAGGAACTTCTTTCCTGTGAGGGTGGCAGAGCCCTGGAAGAGGCTTCCCAGGGAGGTGGTGGAGTCTCCTTCTCTGGAGACATTCAAAACAGGCGTTATCTGGCGACTGATTTTATTTGATCACTTCCAATACTTTAATTGCAATGAAGTTACCTCATTAACCACCTGATGTCCTCAGGCTGAGGTTTTCCACCACTTCCAAACTTAAAAATTCCTTACGGATACTGAGGGCCAAAATCTAAAGACACTTTTTAGCTTAAGTTAATTCTTACACTGTTGCAATTCAACAGGAGACGTAGCGTCCCCAGCCTCAAGCACGGCAGTAACACCCCTGCACTCTGCAAGTCAGGGGATCCCCACCACAAACCAGACCACGAACGTGGTCAAAATCAGGGACACCCTGTAAGGTCTTTGAAAATTTGATTTAAGAAGCTTCCAGTTAAGAATACTGTGAGCACAATATTGCTCCTGCAAATACAGAAAAGAACCACCCACCTGGAATTACTATGTTTGACAATAAAACTTCAGGACGGGTTATTGTATTGACTTTGTAGTAAAGGCTCCTCAGGAGTCCTAGCAATGCTTAGAAAAAAAAAAAAAACAAAAAACCAACAGAAAGACTCTTGTACCTTCTATGATCCTTCGCTGCTGCTGCCTGAGATCACCAAAGCCAAGCCCTCTGGTTTCCTCAGATTCTTCCAAGAGCCACGGGTTGGTTACGCCTCGTTTGACCCCTCCCGTCATTAGGCTGGACCTGAAAATAACGTCGGTAAGTAATTTTTCAACACAAAACCCACTCATGGTATAAATTCCTGCTCGCAAGGACTGGCTGACAGAGATGGAAATCCCAGAGATGGCTCACCCTGGGACTCTCTGCAACCATAGAGGACGTGAGCCAAAAAGAGCCCCACGATCTCCACTAATAAAGGCTCCATAACGCTGCCTACAAGGGGTAAAGCAGGAAGAGAATTAGTTTTGCAGTCAACAATTAAGCTACGTGGTGAAATATATATGCTAAGTGGTGAAACGTATACCATACGCTGTATAATACATATACATATTAAATATTATTTGCATGTAAAGCACACAGCATTCAAAACTGCTACAGACAGACCAGGGTTACTGGGAATACACTTAGTTTTCATGTATTTGCTATTGTCAAAACAAACTTCTAGCAGCAGAGAGGTATAGCCTCAAAGCTTCCAGCAGTGAAGGGATCATCACAGTAATACAGATGCAAATCAGCCAAGACTACTAATTTGCTGCTATCCTGACCAAACCTAAAGGGAACAGTTCTGCATTTCAGCAAGGGTGGATGGAAGTGACACAGTTACTCTCCTGCATTTCCTAATCCAGCACCAACACGAGCCACCAGCCACGGACACACACTCTTCTACGAAAGATTAACCAAGTTCTGGGTTTTCTTTTAAAAGAATTATGACTTGAGGTTGTTCGCATTATAGACACTTCCCCGCTTACAATGGAAAACAAGTTTTTCATGTCCAAGGCACATAAATTCAAGCAGTAAAATGAAATGCCACTTAAATATTTTTCTCAATAGCAGATTTCTGGTTTCCGCCTTTCGGCTTCTCGAGGGTTTCTCCTACAAGAAAAACATCATCTGACAGACAGTGAGTGGCCTGAACCCAAACTGCAACACAGATTTGGGGTAAGAGTCACTGTAAGATCAACTCCTCAAGAGCAGGACAGAAGGAAGAGGGTTTACTTTTCTGCTTTGCTTTTTTAAAATTTCATATTTTATTCTCATTTTACCTTTCCCAGTTCTTTTCCCAAAGCGCTTCCACGAACAAAGCAAGAACAGACAGCATTTTGAGGATTCTGCAAATTCTCACAAAAATTTTAATCACACCAAGACCTTTTTTTTTTTTTTTTAAATTTTATTTTTTTATTTATTAATTGAATCCAGGTCCCTTCTCTGCGAGATATACTGAAAGGCTGTACGGTACATACACATGCTTGAAATCAAATCATTTTGGGGTCCAACTCCTGTATCCAACGACTTTCACTCCGCACACACAGCACTGGAGTGAGGAGTGAACGCACCCTGCCCAGGGACCCCCCAGTCTGACAGCAGGGTATTCAGCAAAACCCAGACCCCAGGAGTTCCTGGAGGAATTATGGTGAACTAGAGCCATCTCCTGGCCGCGAGATGAACCAACTCTGCCCCAAAATAATGCATCACCACGTGAGTTTGGGGGCAGCCATAAATCACAGGCACGCACACCTCCGCAGCCCGGTACATTGGGGAGCATTTCACTTCTTCTCACTTCAGATTTTAACACATTTATTCAACTTCACCTCAAGGTAATGAATTCCTCAGATTTCTTTTTTTGCTCCAGGACCAAAAAGCCCTTATTGTAAACCACAGGGTCTCACTGAACTGTGCTGCTGCTGGTGGAGCAGAACCCAGGCTGCCCCAACCACCATCATGAGCAACGTCTGAACGAGAAGAGCCAGGACCCTTCTGCTTTCTAGCCCTTTGCCCCTCCATTAAAACTCACAACTCACCAAGACAAGGAATCAGGTTGGATTAGACAAAGATACACACTCCTGAGATACAGTTTCACACATTCCCTACCCTTCGGAGGTACTTTTAGGGGGTTAAATACGCTCTTGTATTTTCCAGCCTCACCACGACAGCGACCAGGCTCCACAAACCCAAACACCACGGGAACATCACGTTTCTGAAGACACAAAGATCACGAGAGTCCACCCAGTTCAATCAGCAAACACGCAAAATCTAGGGTTAAACAACAACATTACAACTGGCAACATTACTCAAAGAAAGCAAACGGAACCCAAAGCTCTTTGCTCGCTGAATAGAACACGACTAACGGAACCCAAAGCTCTTTGCTCGCTGAATAAAACACGTCTTTCTGCCTGTTAAAAAAAGGCAGAGGCAGGCAAATGTGAAATAATTTTCTCTCTCCCTCCCCCCTAATAATCTGCCCTGTTCTTGTCGGTTGGGTCATGACAACTGGTCTGCTCGTGACAATAATCTTTCTGACATGTTTGGTAACTACCTTCCCACACAGCGCAGCACAACTTCCTACTTCCTCTGATCTTCCCATGTTTCGCTTTGGTGGTGTGAAGATTAAAGCTTATCCAATTAGCCACCCACTGCCTCCGTGGAGTTAATCACGTAAATCTCTGCAACCGTCACAGCGCAGTGGAGTGTGCAGATAGCTTTTGATTACAGGAGCAGATTTAACTAATTACGAGGCTTAGCAGCGCGCCCAAGTATAAAAGATGATGGGGTTTAAAATCAGGGAGCTATGTCAGTGCTTAACAAGGGAGGGCTTATCTTCCAGAAGCCATTGTTTCACTGATAATTCTTATAAAACTCCCCAAGTAACTTAGATTACTCAACCAGCACTTACTTTAGACCAGGGCCACACATCAAGGCTTAGGGCTTTAGAGGACTGATCAGCAAGACCGAATTTGAAACAAAACCTGGGTCATATGACAATTGGCTGCAGGATCACTGGAACATTCCCTGAACAACCCAGAGGGACCCTGGCCCAGCCCTGGGGCACTTCAGCTTCAGGAGAGGGGGCATCCTCTCACTTACCATTTCATTGCTCACACTGGCAGCAGTGTATCTTAGGAAGCTCCAAGCTAGGAAATAAAACAAGTATCATTTGAACATATCAAAAAAAAAAAGAGCTCTCTCCCCTTCCAAAAAATCCAGGAGAAGCCACAAGAGCACTTCCAAATCCTCTCCGTGTTCCTTCCCAGGTGGAGACCTCCCCACTGCAGAAAGGGCAGCATTGCCTGCAGCTGCCAGAGGGCCTTCCCGGCCCCACTAGAACCAAGAGCAGCACATCTCATGTTTGAGGACATGCCATGTTGCTCTTGACACCATTTAACTGCAGTTGGGTTAACTGGTCCCACTGGTTTCAATGACTGGAAGCCGCTCAGAGCAGCTGCCCACTGTGGGACAGACAATTGGCAGAACACAGCTACAGGTGAGAAACCACACAGAGGAGACACCCCTACAGAGGGAAGGCTACCTTTATATCAACACTTACACTCCCATTTTCATAGAATCACAGAATGGTTTGGGTTGGAAGGGACCTCAAAGACCACCCAGTCCCACCCCCTGCCCTGGGCTCCCACCAGCCCAGGTTGCTCAAAGCTTCCACCAACCTGGCCTTGATTTTTATTTCACAACAGCCTCACTTTCCTATCCAAATCCTCAATGTACACCACAATAAACTTTTCCATCAGAGATTCATCTTGCTATCAAATATCACAGCCTTCTTTCTACACCATCCCTTACTTTCTGTGCAAGATTGGTCATAGCACAATACTAAATATATTCTAAAACAGCTCTTCAAAACAGTCTCACCTTCTACAGCTCACTTGTACTCCTTGGGAATGAGAATCCCAGAATGCTATGGGGTTGGAAGGGACCTCTGGAGATCATCCAGTCCAACCCCCTGCCAGAGCAGGGCCACCCAGAACAGGTTGTACAGGAACGTGTCCAGGTGGGTTTGAATGTCTCCAGAGAAGGAGACTCCACCACCCCCCTGGGCAGCCTCTGCCAGGGCTCTGCCACCCTCACAGCAAAGAAGTTCCTCCTCAGGTTCAGATGGAACTTCCCGTGTTCCAGCTTGTGCCCATTGCCCCTTCTCCTGTCCCTGGGCACACTGAGAAGATCCTGACCCCATCCTTTCTAAGAGAGAACTATAAGAAAGGAGAATTCTTTCTAGAAAGAACATGCATCTTGTGCAATTCTATCCAGAGAAAAGGTGATGGGACAAATCCACCCTTTGAGAGTATTTGTCCTGTTCATAAAATGATCAGCCACCCCATGACCTGCAACTCGCACCTCGATAGACTCTACATTGGTCCCATCTGTTGGGACAAGACACACCTGAACCTCTGCCTGGCTGGTGGAAGGTTGAGCACAAGCAACAGGAACATCAGCCTCCAACAGGTCCCAGTTGGACATTTTTTCTCCTACAGAGCCAGCACAGCCACACCAGCACAATCCGTGACACCACTGACGCAGAAACAACCTTGGGCAAGAAACTTCTGGTGGTTTTGAGCAAATTTAGGAGGCAAAACAGAAAGCACAGAGCTCAGCCTTGAAAGCTGCCCTCCTACTGACATTTCTTCCTGAGGCTAATGAGCGTTAAACATTAATAACAGGCACAACCTGAGACACAACACCTAAACTTGTGGCATTTGACTTAACTTTGGTATTTAAATCCTTTCTTTGCTATTCCTTATAAATGCACAGATACACAGTTTTCCCATAACCACAGACTTGACTTAGCAAGGTCCTTAAGGGTGTTCTGAAGGAAGAGAGATACAAACTGGACCTCGAACTCAGACTAAACCGAGAAGACTGCACTATTTTACCGCAATCTTTCTTAAATTTGGGGTGGGCACACCCAACCTTGGGTTTTACAGGCGGGTTCTACCTGCTGCCTGCATGAGGACACACACACTGTAACCTACAGAGAGCTTCCAGGTGCTCCAAGGTAGGACAGAAGGTGGCCCAAATACTGAGACACCGTTTAGTGGATGAGGAGGGTGTTGAGACAACTATAACCCTGTTGGCTCATGATTACACAGCCAAAGGATAATTAATGCTGGAAAAATCCTGCCCCAGATCCTAGATTTGATCTTGTTACTCAGACATTCTCAAGCACAGCTTTCTGGATGGACAATTCACCTCTCCTTCCACCCTTCCCATCCATCTCCTGGACACAGAGCTAATCA